CCATTACAGCATTAAGGTGATAAGACACGACATGCTGAGAATTCTATAGCGACACATACACACTATTAAAATAGCATACAAAAAAACTTATGCTACTTCAATATATAAATTAAATGGAAGAGACAATAGATTAAGAAAGCAAAGTTTGATACAACAGATCAAAAAGGAAGAAGAACTGGGGAAATGAAATCCAAAATAATACTAGGAGGGTTCAAAATACGCAATCTACAGCAAATAGCTACAGGTACTAATACCGAAAGATTAACAGCAGAGAAAGAAATTCACTAGCGCGACAAAAAAAGCTAAGCGAAGACAAACGTCCAAAAGATTGCCAATACTAAAACACGAGTAATTAAAAGAGACAAATGAAAAACTAGAGGGCAAAACAAAAATGCAACAGCGATAAACATGGCTTAAAAACACAGCGGAGCACGCCAACGTCCCCATAACAACGACATAAAAGACTCATATTAACGATTCCGTGTTTGCATTTAAAATGGCCAAACTTGCATATGGTAGAGCGGACCAGACAAATAAAGGAAAGAGCAAAGTCACCAGCACACAATAATTTTAGCAGGATAAGTGCTAATAGATGTAATAAGATATGAAACGCAAGATATGAAACATTATAGAATTCTGATAGTTATGAAAAGATAAGGGGCACAAAATAGATAACTGGAAAACGACAAACCATGACTATTAAACCTGAATTAGATATGACGGAAAAATTCTGTCGATCCGTGACACTAACATGTAGATAAATTAGAGCGCGTTTACCCCTTTGTTTTCTAATGACCCCGCACTCGTGATTCGACCGTCCTTGGAAATTACCAACCGACGAGGAACCAGAACAACAATACCAAGATACAATTAAAAATATAATGGCTGAGTTTCATAAAACATAATCAAAGTAACTGAAAGAATTCAGTGTCCAGATTTTACCGTAAAAAAGGGTTAATTCGGCAGGATAACGACTAGCTAGCGACGACCGGTTGGCAAGGTTGCGGCAACAGACACACATGGCTTTCATAAACTAGGGATTCCAGAGACGACAGCTAGCTAGGACGACGGTTAAAATGAAGACCTATTCCCAGCTTGCTTATACCTCTAGACTAACAAGGCGCGGGTAGGCTCAGCATGTACATTTTTGGGTCGTCTCTTGCCGCTACACTATGAACACTTTACCACACTAACCCGATAAGTGACAACGTGAGGTCAAAACGCAAAAACTGAACGCTTAACGAGAGACTAGATGCACACTATGCCCTAACCTACAGCTGATAAATAAGCAAGATCAACCATAAGGGGACGATAACTGGAGGTGGGGAGGTCTTGATTCATGTTTCGTGCAATGAAACTCAGCGAGACACAGGAAGACAGACTATAAGCGGAGCGACGCACAGGTAAACGACAGCTCAGCTCAGACGCCAGTAACGACACGCGTGTCTAGACGCCGGTAACGACAGCTAAGCTAGACGCTTGTGAACCCTTTCCGACGCGCTTCACAAAATGGCGGCTAAACGGTTATATACGATCGCTTCAATAAAAGCCACTAATGGGCAGCACTTAATTTTAAATATACAATTAAGAACAAAACCAAAAACCTTCAAACGTCCTAAATGCTTGCCATGATGTCTGGACTCTTGGAGCAACGGCCGCTTCGGATCGCGGCCGCGGCGGGCGGAACAGCCAATCATAGTCTTCGCCAGCCTAGCAACTATGTGCGCTGATAGCTGTCGTTACCGCGTCTCTCTAGCTGTCGTTACCGCGTCTAGCTAGCTGTCGTTACCGCGTCTAGCTAGCTGTCGTTACCGCGTCTAGCTAGCTGTCGTTACCGCGTCTCTCTAGCTGTCGTTACCGCGTCGGTGTCGTGAGGTTTCGTTAGGTACGTGCAGCTGCTGCTGCTGCTGCTTATGATGATGATGCTCGACCGTTGTCATGTAAGATATAGGGTTTTACTCAGGACGTCCGCGTGGATGAGCCCCACCCGCGTTATTTCTCAACAAATTACGGAGTCAGTCTAACTTAAAGTAATCATTACGAGAGTTTTCCACTGTTTTCACCACTTTCATGATACATACCGTTATTGCTTGAGTAACAGCAATTGTCTAGAGTAACAATAAAATGTCTTAGAACCTTCGTATTCAGCAAAACATGCAATTTTCGAACTACTAGTTTGGTAAATAATCGTTTGCTGTAATCTTGAAACTAGAGCCGGTAGTATGGATCAGCTAGAAGCCCCGCCGCCTATCTGCCATAGACATAGTATAGTCTCTCTCAAATGCACTTGTTTTCAATTAATCACCGACAATTTACAAGTTTACCAATTCTGCCATTATCGCGATACGAAAAAATGCATTGCTGTTTCTACGATGTGTTAATATCCAATTTTCGATGCAATAACTGCATAAAATCGTAGTGTTTTTAATATTGGTGTAATCAGTGATATTTCCGCTGTCAGGTGAGACTATATTCAGCTATTTAGTTTTTCTGAGCAAAAATCTTGTAATAATCAGTTTAACTACTAAGAACTCTAACGAGGCTCTATTCCGAGTTTTCCAATTGATATTAGCTTAGATGTTGATGAAATTAAAAATTATGTTATCAATTAAGTTAAGACGAAATTAAAAGTTCATTTCAACATTAGTCAGGCGCCAGATACCGCCGAGCGCTCGTGATGTTCTCTAAGACGTTACGTAGTTATATTATGCATATTATTGGTTAGAATACGATCTATCACGTCTATATATATCACCATTCGACTAGCGAGGCGTTCTTATATGTATAGGACTATATGCCGCGTATAGTGATGCACCCGACCGTAACCGCCATCCAGCGAGACATGATACAAGATTGCGTGGCACAGCTTTGCTGTTGATCCTGAGCGCTGCGCGCGGATGAGACGCGCAGTTCCGCGAGATATGCGCACGCGACCGCGGGGATGTTCAAGTATGAAGCGCTGTCCGCAGTGGAGACGTGCGCCAAATTCGAGGCCCGGCGCACGTCTCCACAGCGGTCAGCGGATGGTCTGTATAGTTTTAGAAGATAACAATGAAGACTTTGTTCTAAATAAGAACTATCGGCGGCTAAATAAGAGCAATATACAGACCTTCTTGACTACAGAATATCTTGACTAGTCAGTCAAAGGGCTTGTTGGGGATCCATTATGCAGAGCTTCCCATTGAAATGGCCCATGAAATTGTCAAGTGGAATTGTGTTTTTCGGAACCCCAAAGAAAATGTCTACCTCTTACATGCACCCCCTCCCTGATCAATCACGCATTCAGGCGTAAACAATAACACAGATGAAATTGTGTTGAGTTTATGGCTCTTGGCGCACGTGCATTGACGTACACGACTGATGAAAAGGCTCAAGGATAGAGAGTATGGTTGTGAGAGCAAAGCCGATGTGTTACGCTACATAGTTGTCAATCTCGCCATGCTCTCTATCTTTGTACCACAGGCGGCTTGGAACGTCTCAATAAAAATTAATCTTCACACAATTTTTTACAATGATCGACCGCCTGTGTGCAAAATAGGTGAACGTATGTGAAACATATACGGTTAGTATACTTAAGCCCGGCGCACACGTGAGTTATTTTACTCAAGTAAAATGACGCATGAGTCAAATTACTCAACGAAAATCCGCCGCACACGTGAATAAAGTGACTCATGCGTAATTTTACTTGAGTAAAATAACTCACGTGTGCGCCGGGCTTTACTGTGACATATCCGTGACTAACTGACACCACTAAATTGGTAAAATGTTCCATGCACCTTAAGAAATGTGAGAAATTACGAGAATCAAAACGATTATGTGAGAATTCGGTCCGACTATTATTGTCTCCAAGTTTTGTCTTGTAGTTTTGTTGGAGCATGCTAGACTGCGTCGGTAATATGTTGAGAATCAACGAAATTGAAGAAGAATTCAAACTAAGGTGATTTCGAAATGAAGGAAGAAATATTTGGACTCTGTCGTATGGAGTTTCAGTCTAGGGCTATGTAGTCGCTGTGATGTTTAGAAGGCTTGGAATGAATACATGTGACCAAAACGAGTGAGAACGTGTGGGTTTATAGACCTGTGGGTTCTTTTGTGAAAAGAAAGGAGTGGGATGTATAAAGATTGTCTCTTGTCGAGAAGAAAATTGTGCAGTTATTCATTTACACCGAATAGATGTACCAAACATGACAAAATTCTTGTATCGGGCATACGTAGTCCGAGATGAATATGCATGCTTTCAACGCAAGCTATTCGTGGCTTCCCCAATCGGGCTCATACGTCCGTGATCATGAGTTTCCGTCTGGCATTCAGCCTAGTTGCTGACAACGTATATACGTGGTTCGTCGCACGCAATACTACAACATTACTACTGCTCGAGCACATCTATTTGGAAAAGCGCGTGACTGCAGTTAGCGCCACCCATGTCGAGCGCTGCTCCAAAATGGCGACAAATCTGAAAGAATACTAACACAGTATTCTTGCTCGACCTGGGTCTGGTCAGTGGTTAGGGTTAGGGTTGTGGTCACGGCTATACGTAGGGATAGGGTTATGGTTAAATAAATAAAACCTTCAACCCTAACCTTATCCAATATTCTACGACAGGCTTGGAGTTAGAAAAGCCGTCAGACCATTGGGTCATGGCCTATACTGATGGCCAGACCCGTAATTATAAGTCTCACTCTAACCCTTTCCTTAATACTTGACGTGTGTGTGTGTCGAGCAGTGTATTGGCGCTCGCGGGCCATCATACCGCCGAGGATAACGCGCGTGTTCACGGGAGTCCGCGTCTAGAACTGCGTCGAGTTGAACCTGATGAGCGGTCGCTTCTTGTGCGACTGTGCGTCGTCGCTGCACGCCGCCGGCGTCAGCGTCACCAGTTTGACGACATCGTCGGCCGTCACCGGCACGTGTCCCGCCGGCGACGCTGCCGGCGTCCCTAGCTGTCGCCCCGCCGCCGCCGCCGCTGCGCAGTGTGTCGGCTTCGGGTCGTCGGCTGGTTGTCATTTGTAGCGGTGCGTGTTCTTCGTGTACTCGGCCGCTCCCAGCTTCTCGCGCAGCAGTCGCACGAGCGCGCGCCGAAAGTTGATGCCGCACACCGAGTAGAGCACGAAGTTCACCGAGAAGTTCGTGTAGTAGAGCAGGTTGAAGTAGCTCTGCAGCAGCATCTCGGTCGTCGACATGACGTCGCCGACGTCGTCGTCGTCGCCGCCGGCGAGCGTGCGCACGAACACGTGTATGCGGATCACGTAGCTGGGCGTGTTCAGCAGTATGAAGATCGTCGAGATGAGCAGCAGCAGCTTGGCGATGGAGATGTGAGTACGCGAGCTGACGATGTTCGTGTGCTGCTGCGCGAACTTCGGCTCCAGCTCGACGCACTTGCGATTGAAGTGCACGATCTGGATCGTGATGAGCACGTTGAGCACGAGCACGGTGACGAAGGGCAGGATCAGCGTGAGAAACGTGTCGACGTGGTTGAGCGCCGACTGCGCGTACGCGTGCACGGGCAGCAGCCCGCAGGCGGTCAGCCCCGAGCCGTTCTCGATGTCCACCATGCCGGCCGTCCACATCACGTAGCTGTACATGACCATGCCGGACACTGTCAGCGCGGCGATGACCATCTTCGCGCGCGATACGGTGCACATCGACGGCCGGTGCAGCGGGTAGCGCACGGCGATGAAGCGCTCGACGGTGAAGGCGACGATGAACCACACCGACAGGAAGCTGCACACCGACGACGAGTAGATGAGCAGCTGGCACCAGCCGTTGTTGTGGTAGATGTTGACGCCCATGTCGGTGATCCACACCATGAGCAGCGTGAGCAGGTAGAGCGTGTCGGCGAGCGCCAGCGCCGCCAGGTAATAGCTGCTCGAGCGCGTGTTCAGGTAGGTGAAGATGAAGACGACGAACGAGAGCAGGTTGCCGAACACGCCGACGGCGATGATCACTGGTGTGTAGTAGCGGTTGAGCGACTGCAGCAGCGTGTAGGCCGGCATGCTGTACAGCTCGTCGTAGCGGCTATGATTGGCCGTCGCGCCGGTCATCAGCAGCGGCGGCGAACTAGCCGTGGTCAGCACGTACGCGGTCGCCTTCTCCATCGTCGTCAACTCGAGCGGCGCCGACACGCGGCTGTGCGCCACGCTGGACATCGCGCGATGGTGATCGATGTGGCGTATCGACCGGATTAGCGGATTGGACGGAGTGACGGCGGATCGATGTGGCGGCGGTCGGACAGCAGTGTCAGCACGACGCTTGGGCGGATCGCTGTGGATTCACCACACACACACACATACACACACACACACACACACACACACACACACACACACACACACACACGCACGCACGCACGCACGCACACACACACGAAGAGAGAGAACGAGCGACAGAGGCGTGTATTTTAGCACGCGTTACTCGTCTCTGCAGCTGTTGCTGCGTGTCTCGCGGGAAGTAAGCTCAATCCCACGCGTGGCGAGTAGGCGCTCTCGGTCGCCTGCACATGCGTCGCCGCCGCTCGTCGCACTCGCTGCGTCGTGCGTGTCGCGTCTGTTGTGCCAGCACTCGCGGACAGTAACCGAATAGCGCTCGCTTGACGTGCCCGACGCGGATAAACAAACACGCCCCGGTTCTTTTATTTTGCAACAATGCCACAGTCCGCGAGCTGATGTGTCGATGCTGCAACAACGAGCGACGTCATCATTCGATACTCGATAGCGTATGAATCGATGATGCCGAGCCGGGATCGATCGATACTTGATAGCGTGTGAATCGATGATGCCGAGCCGGGATCGATCGATACTTGATAGCGTGTGAATCGATGAGGCCGAGCCGCGATCGATCGATACTCGATAGCGTGTGAATCGATGAGGCCGAGCCGGGATCGAAACGTCTTGTCTCGTGTTCGCTGTTGTTAGGAAGCCCGACAGCAAGTCCAGTGTACACGTGCGAATCCAAACACGCGGCTAGTCGCTGGACACACCGAACTCGTAGATTTCTCTCTCTCTTTCTCTCTCTCTCTCTCTCTCTCTCTCTCTCTCTCCCCCTTTCTTTCTCTGTTTATCTTTCTCTCCGCGCGCTCTTTCTCTTGCTTTCTTCCTATCTCTTTCTCCCGGACCCTTCTCTCTCTCTCTCTCGCTTTCTTCCTATCTCTTTCTCCCGGACATCTCTCTCGCTCGCTCTCTCTCTCGCTCTAATCGGGATTCATCAACGTCGAGCTGTTCACGCATCGTTGTGATTGCTGTCGTGAGGATTCTCATCTACACTGCGTCTGCTTTCACTCACGTGCGGCCAGAAATCTTGTCAACCGCCTGCGATCTATCGTACAGATGGCAGTCACCTGTAATGAGATGATGGAATACATTTTATGAGACTATAAAAAACCTGTATTCATGATTAAAAACACCACTTAACGATTATTATGTAAAGTCGTGTATGCAATGTCTGCATACTTGGGTACTTACGTGTGTATGTATGAATGCGTGTGAGCGTGCGCGCGCATGTGTGTAGGTGGGTGCGTGCGTACGTGCGTGTGCGTGCGTGCATGTATGAATGTATGTATGCATGCGTGCATGTAGGTATGCGTAAATGCATGCATTTATGTGTATATGTCTGTATGCGTACATGCGTGGATGCATAACCATTTCCCTCCTGCAACCAACTGAAACTGCTTATTTCTATGGGCTATACGATTCCTCATGTGTTTGCTAGTTTACTAATTGCATTTCGTATTTGTTCTGCTCCAGAAATCGCTGTGTCCATAGTCTATATATATATCTTGGCCGAGCCAATTACCTGCACCGCTACACCTGTGCATTTCTGGTTGCACTTATTAACACAGTTAACGTTGCCAATGCGACAGGTTGCCTGCTTATTTAATTGGAAACGCCTGAGCGAGTTTTAGTTAAGACGATTCTCCATATCCTGGAATCATTATCATCAATATAAACATGGTAAAGACTAATTGTGTTCACTACAAGTCTTAATGTTGATCGATGTTTGATTGAATGATCGATTTCTATCCGTCTGTGAGTTTGTGCACGGTGGCGTGCGTGCAGTGAGATTGTGTGTTGCAGAGGAGCATTTGTAGTAAATACGCTGTCTTTCTTTACCATTATATAATTATATCGACGATCATGATTGAGTCCAGGATATATGGAGAATCGTCTGAACTAAAATCGCTCACGAGTTGCCAGTCATTTTACTATTGAAACGGGCCACGTGCCTGTGCAGGTAAACGCCGCGAAATTGACACTGCTAGTATACCCGTGATATATTACCAGGAGTGTATCAATATTGATACACTCCTGATATTACCAATATATTACCAATTAGTCTATATATGACAAATTGTCAAATGATCCTGACATTAATTGCTTGCTATGGGCTATGTATGAGTCACGAGTGTATGTTTACATCGAACAATTATAGTAAAATAGGAAGTATAATGCAGCAATTTAACCATAAAAAGTGAACAGAATTACTTACATGTTATGAAAAAGTGGAAATGTTTTTTTTACTTTTACTATTTACGGTGACGTAATCACTTTAACCCCCTGATCTTAAAAGCCTATTTACACGATGCGTTTTGGACGTACGTCCTAGACGTACGCCAGACGCATACGTCCAAAACGCACCGTGTAAACTATGCGGTACGACACAATTTTATGACCGTTGCGATATCGGATGCACAGGACGCATGTTCTAATTTCATCCGATGATGTTTGAATGATCCCGGTGTTCGTATCCTTGGAATGTCATCGGGTCGCATCTGGCTAACACGATTCAGAATACACGTATATGATAGAGTCTTAGCCAAGTACGAAAATTACAGTACAGTACTGTACATACAACTAACTATTCTATGTTGTAATGTAAGCCGACAATACTGCGCACGTACGTACGCTCGCATAGTTGCATAACACGACATCTATAATAGCGCTAGTCGACAACCACATCGCACAGACCAACCAACTTTATATCACACGATAAATAAATACGGGGGATTTTTACAGAAATGTGTAGATATACTGTATTTAGTCTAGAGACGCGATTTTGCGTCGTCGCGCTCAGCATGAACTGATGCTAAATAAGCCGCGTATGTACACGCACCACGAACATGCTTGCCGAGTTCATACTTCATTAGTTTTACGGGCGATACTTATTTTTCACAACGCGAACTTTATTACTTGCAGCCACCTACAACGGTCGCATATCGACACTAGTCCGCGAATTAGCGCACAACCCGCTCGTTTACATCTCCCAGCATTAAAGTAAGGAAAGAAACTAGTCGCTACTAGCTTCAATCCAGAACACGTTACGCTTTAGACCCTTGCACGATCGGCAACTCGGGATTAGGTAGAGTCAACGTCAAAGGAATGTCAAGTTTATATATTTGCTATATAAAATCCATTTAACGCTGTACCAGATTCAGACCTAAAGCATCTTAACAACCTCCGATGGTAGCGATGCCACTGAAGCGTAAATGTACGCATCGCATATGCGTTACCGATCGGGAAATAACTACCAAATGTCTTATCTCGCGTACATAAGAGTGTCGTGCCCGCAAAATCCAACGTGTTTCATTCGATGAAAGCGCGCGCGTATATTGACAAAATCTCAAAGCAAAACAAATGCGACGACAGCCTCGTGCATGCGACGGTGCGCAGTCGCGCGCTCCCGTTTGTCACGACGCGGACAAATTATAGCCGAATGTCTGGAACTGAGCGACGACGACGACGACAAACTGTCACAAGCAGCCCCGCATGACTCGTGTGTTTCTCCGTGATAACGACGTCGAGGACCGACCATCGATTGTTACCTACCCGTCTGCTATCAACGCAGACGACATGATGACGCAGCGGCTGCGTTCATCGCCGTCAGCGTACGCGTCTGAGATCGGTTACGGGCTCGTTCCCGCGTAACAACCTCCGGCTAATCTCGCGTGATATTACAAAGGGATTCTCTTCGGCCAGCGCGCCCGTGACATCGGATTGGTCACTCACATTACTCGCCAGCTTTCGTATGCACGCCGTGAGCACTCGGTTATCATTTAATGGGCAGTCGCGCGTGTCGAATGCACACGCATTTAAAGTTTCATTAATCGTAATCTATCGCTCCTCGCGTGCAGACTCCCACAGCTAGTGCTGCGCGGCGGATTCTCTGCTGGCAGACGCAGTCGCACGCTCATGTGGTCGGTAATGAGCTATCGTGCAGCGTCGCTCGCGTTTTCGGGCGCCACACTCACATAAGCGACTCGTAATGAAAGAACCAAGTTCGATCGAGCTGCGGCGGCGGTGGAGGCTGTACGCAGCCGCGGCCAACGTTCCAGCGTCTCGTTAGCTGTCGTTACCGCGTGTAGCTAGCTGTCGTTACCGCGTCTAGCTAGCTGTCGTTACCGCGTCTCGTTAGCTGTCGTTACCGCGTCTAGCTACCTGTCGTTACCGCGTCTAGCTACCTGTCGTTACCGCGTCAAGCTAGCTGTCGTTACCGCGTCTCGCTAGCTGTCGTTACCGCGTCTCTCTAGCTGTCGTTACCGCGTCTCGCTAGCTGTCGTTACCGCGTCTAGCTAGCTGTCGTTTAAAAGGTTAGGGTTGAAGGTCTTTATTATCTCTAACCATAACCCTAATCCCTAACGTATTAGCCGTGACAACCAACGCCATAACCCTAACCACTTGCAGCAGACCCCCGGTCGAGCACGAATACTGTGTTAGTATTCTTTCAGATTTGTCGCCATTTTGGGAGTCAGGCGCTCGACTATGGGTGGCGCTAAACTGCCAGTCACGCGCTTTTCCAAAGAAAGTTGCCTCTCGAGCAGTAGTAATGTGTAGTTTGCGTGCGACGGAACCCACTGTCAATATACGTTGTCAGCAACCTAGGCTGAATAGCCCAACGGAAACTCATGATAACGGATGTTTATTTGAACGCGGCCCGCATTGGGGAAGCTACGCATAGCTTGCGTTGAAAGCATGCATATTCAGTATCTCGGGACTACGTATGTCCGATACAAGAATTTGCTATGGTTTGGTACATCTATTCGGCTCTGTAATATGAAGTAACTGCACATTTTCTTCTCTGACAAGAGCAATCTTTATACATCCCACTCCTTTCTTTTCAACCAAAGGAACCCACACGTCTATTAAACACCACACGT